GCTTAACCACTTGCGCCACCAGGGAGACCTTATAAATAAATCTTAAAAAAAAAAAAAAAAAAGAGATGAAGAACTGGGGTGTAGGCCAGAGGTGGGGGGGGGTGTTGTGTGTGTGTTTGTTTTCACCAGAGACAGATGGGGAGCAGACGAAGCGGATCTACTTAAATACACTGCTAGGTGGAGCAGTGGCAGGAAAGGGCTAACTTCGAGGCCGGGGAATAAACTCAGGCCCTTGACTTGACAGCACTGAGGCTTAACCCTTAGGCCACCAGGGAGGCCCCCAACTATCATTTTCAATCTAACTAAGGGCTAAGGAATAAGAGGAGAAACAATAGATAGAATACCTAACAATGAAACTCCTTCTTAAATGCTAGACTCCCTGACTAGAGACTCACAGTCTCCATCATCTAAATCCTATTCATTTTTCCTCCGAATACCTACGAACCAGCTTCTATTCTATAATTCCAGTGTCATTAAGGCCCAGTAATGTGTACTTCAAAGTCTCCCACTTGAGCTCTGCTGCTGGTCTCAACCCACTGCAGGCACCTCCTCCCTTCCAGTTATTAATCTCAACAGTGATAAGAACGTTACAAACAGCTCATTGTAATTCTCTGGACTCAGCTGCTGCCCCCAGCACGCCAGCCGCAGTGACTTCCATTCACGCCATCGTCTCTGCTTATCCTTCAAGCCTTTCTGAAGGTTCCTCGAAAATGATGTCATGAAAGTTTGCTTAAATCCTACTTCATAACCCAGAAACTTCAAGGTAATAATATTTGAGATGCTGTGAGGATTAAATAAAATAATACAGGCAAACATAAAAATTTCAACAAGCTTTAACTTCCTTTTTTTAGTTCTCCCAAGCAGAACTGGCCGGTTCTTTCTCTATTCCCAAAGCAGTTTGATCACCTCTCTAGTGCACACCTAGTACATTACTCATCTGTTAAAATGTCTTTGTAGTCAAGCCTGTCAAAGATAATGAGTCTTACTCACTTTAGATGGAGCACAATGCCTGGCACAGAGCAGATACTTAAGGCACAATGACTCAAGTTGCTCTCTCAAACCCTCTTAGGCCAGCAGAGCGCAAAGCCAGCCTGCTCGAGATGTGCGTCTTTCTCTCCACGAAGGGGAGTCGAGGAGGTGCGATCAGCAAGGTGCCCACATCACTCTCTCCTGTTTCTCTCTGCTCACCACTTGAGGGTTTTCCCTCTTCTCTCAGCATCCCAAGAATACTAAATGTCGGCTAGACATTATTCGGTACAGTTCAATAAATGTATTTGCTTCCTCTCCCTTGTACTCAAACCTGATTAACTGCTTTATCCTGTTGATTTTACCATAATCATCTCTTTCCCAATCTTCCCTTCTAATTTATGCCACCTTCATTTAAACCCTCATTCATTCGCTCTGGAGTCTTACAACTTGGACAGTAAAGTTGCCTCCCTCCAATTTTATCTTGCTGCCAGATTCATCTTCCTGTGACTTCTCTGCTCAGAAGCCTTCACGGTGGCGCACATTACCATTACCTACGCACGCAGTCCCCAGCACCTGGCCCCAAGCCATATTTCCACCCCATTCCCTGCTAGTCCTTCTGTGCATCCCACATTACACCCGGACATGAACACCTGCAGCTTCCTTCATTTTCCATCTCGCTGTGCGCCTCTGCCTGCAGGGCCACTCCCCCCGCCGCCCCCCCTGCCATAGCCCCTCTGCTCCAGGCCTGGCTCTACCGTGGCTGCCTCTATGGAGCCTTGTGTTTCCCCACAGTGGGAAGGAATGGCTCTTCTCCTCTAAGCCTCCCCTCCCAGCTTCACCTGCACCCTGCTCTCAGCGCTCACCGACACCCTCTGCTGTTACACACAGAGGAGAGGAGAGCCGCTGCACTCTACATCCTTGCACTCTACATCCTTCCGTGGCGCTTAGTCTGGGACCTCCTACATCCGCTACACTACGTATCTCTTTACAGTCTTTGTTAAAATGCATGTACTAGTTTCCTTATATCCTTAGTTACACTTCATAATTACAGAAAAATGACCCAGGATTCCCACAGGCTGACATTCTCACCAAGTTTTCTAATTTCTCAGCAATTATGAAATCGTCTAGTTTACCTCACTCCAAGTGCACCCCAAAGATCCTCTGGCTACTGTGTCCACTTTTCTCTCCCTCATCTCTTACCCCCCCTCAAAAGTTCATATTCTTTCTACCTTCAAACCATTACGTCTGTGGCTACAGTGCAGGATTTACATTTCCCACATCTCTCTGCTGTCTGTTCCAGCATTCTTGCATTCTTCCATTTGGAGAAACTCAAATTCCTTGTATTGGAAAAACTGTCCACCTCTAAATCCAATTCTTCTCAGCTGCTTTACTTCAAATGGTGTTCTTCTTCTTCCCCCCAACTCCCTCAGTTTAGAAATATGGAATTAATTTCTGAATCTTTCCCCTTTTTTATTATTAAATATTTGTGTTCTCTGATTAATCTTATTTTAATTTCCACGGCCTCCACGCTTAGCAAGCAGCCATTTGCCTCATTCATCTCAAACCCAGACTGCTCAGACTGGCCTCTTCACTTCTCCCTCGTCCGAGTAACAGCACCTTCTTCTCTAGTCGCGCTGTTGTTTTCCCGCTCAAAAAACTAATCATTCCCTAGAGATGACGGGAACTATAGCAACTCTAGACTTCATGTTTAACTTTCAGTAACTGTTCTTTTATTATTATTTCTAATTATTACTATTAGTGAGAATTTACCAAGTACCAAACATTAAGTTATACAATTTCTGTGTATGATTTATTCTTCTCAACAGCCCTCTGAGTAGGCTCTACTGTTACCGCTTTATGGATGAGGGAACTGATCAAGATCACAGTGGCTGATCCAGGATTCAAACTCAGATACTCCAGAGCCTGAAGTCTTAATCCTGAAGGCAAAAATGTCACCCCAGGAATAACTACAGCCCACCTGCCCTTGTTTCTTACTATACTTCAACCAGCATTCTGCTCCAAGCAGCCCTTTCTTTTCTCCTGCAGGTACCGTGTTAAATCTTGCCATTATACTGCTCTTGTGAATTCCATCACCTTTTCCTGGAAATTTACCTATTACCTAAGGCTTCTCACTTTCTTGGAAACTTCCCATTCCCCTCTGAACAAAGATCCCTTCCTTCTCTGAACTCCTATTTCAAATTTTATCAGTACCATTCAATTTAGCATTTAATTGAATGCTATTCCCTAATTTATTCCCTAAATTCTTACCAATTAAGCAATTGCCCAGCTACAACTAGACCATAAGCTCCTGAGAAAAAAGAATCCTACTGTATTTCATCAATTCCAGGGCCTTTTTTTTTTTTTAAGATTTTTTTATTTATACAAGAATTGGGGTATAGACCAGATGCGCGGGAGGGTGAGAGGATTCACCAGAGACAGAACAAGCAGACTGATGAAATACACTGCATAGGGGAGCAGTGGGCGAGACAGGAGAGGTCTGCTCGCCATGTGGGTTGCTCTGAGGCCGGCAGGGACTGAACCGGCACTGCAGAGGCTGTGGACAGCTTCACAGCGCTGGGCTCAACTGCCTGCGCCACCAGGGAGGCCCAATTCCAATGCTTTTTAATTCCATTTTTCTAAGGATTTATCTTTAATTATCTTTAATTCTAAGGATTTATCTTTAATTATGTCAATCTGACTGGTATGTTGCCTTTCCTAGTAGAACCTACAATAATGGTACTGATTACAAAATATGGAGTCTTAGATGCAAAGTAGTAGGATCAAAGAACAGTAACTCAACTAGCAAACAAGACTGAACAAACTACACTTGACTATTGTATTTTTTAACAACAGTTGACATTCCACTGAACTAGGTTATTGTGTTAGTTGCTTTACACAAATCATCTGATGCTAGATAGAATTGTCATCTAATTTTACAGACCTCAGAAACAGAACTCTAATCCTTAGAAAAATTAACCAACTTGCCCAAGGTCACACAACTGACAAATACTGCAGTCAAGATGCAAACCATGACCCACGACTCCAAAGGTAAAGAATATAACCAAGTAAGACCAGTATAAAAGAAACTCAATCAATCCTACTCTCTTACCGAGGTATTGCACATTTATCAAAGATATTCAATAAATGGAAAGTTTGTGAAGTTTTTCAAAGTCAGCGACATCACTTCTTCTCTATCACTTAAATTCCACATGAGGTCTCTACTATACTCCCCAAATCTAAAGTCCACGAGTACAAGGGCCTTTCCTGACTTATTCCCTACTCACCTGAAACACTGCCAGACACATAGTAAGTGCTCAAAAATATTTACTAAAAGAAATTGAGATTTACTTGCCCTTTTATTGCCAAGTATCTTCAATTTTCTCTGAAAATTTCCAAGATGCTAATAGAATTAGGGCAGTTTCAATTCATAAATACCTTTATACTGAAAAGGAAAAACACGGGGCGGGGGAGGGGGTTATGGGACAGACATCCCGACTCAACCTCAATACATCCAAATAGGAAACTTTTCCAAATGTCCTACTACCCCCACTCCAACCTCAATTCCCACTCCTTACTGACACCAGGATCCTATGCTGTGTGCGCTACTGCTACAAAGCTGTTCACTTCTCTAGACACGCTCAAGCTCATTAACTCTTGCAAAGTTGTTCACTTCATCTGGGAATGCCCTTCCTCACTTTTTCACTCAGTCCTTGCCATTCCCTAAGATTCAACATCATCCAATCAGCCCTCATTTAATAAATAAGCAAGTAACGTCAGGCTGAAATAATTTATCTGAATGTCTCTGCTCCAACTAGAGTGTAAACTCCAGGTTACAGCGCAAGACACAAGTGCAATCTACTAACCTGGCTCCCTCCTCACCAGTTTCTGCCCCTCCCATTTGAGGACTCACTAAATGAACAAAAACAGATGAAAAATTAACAGGACCAAATGTGAAATTATCTTGGCACTCAGCTGCCCCCACACCCGGCAATACACTGAGTAAATGCCATATTCTGCCATCCAACACTTGCCTCCACAGTAAAGGACTCGAAGTGGGTAATCCGCATCTAATTTGATATTGCTCCTCAAGTCTCCTTTGCAATCATGCCCACCGGATTCAGATATGTCAGCAGCCATCTCACAAACCTGTAAGCAAGGAAACGAATACATCTTCACTATTTTGGCCCCAGACCCCAGAACAGCAGTTCAGGTGAAGTCTTACTCCCTCCCACTAGAAATTCCCCCCGCCCCCGAGACCAAACATGTTTCAATGTTCTGTTACTACAGGATGTCAACTGCATTAAAAAATACATAACATGTACCATACACTACATATTTAGAGTATCATTATAAAAATACGAGCATAATTTGCCAGGTGCACTGGGCTACACGCAAGCCAGTGACAGCGAGACTGGCAGCAAATGGATCACGATGACTGGGGGCCGGGGTGGGGGGTGCCGTGGGTGGGGGGCACCGGTGAAAGAGGAAGCATTGGGGGAAAGGACGGGGAAGGAGGCCGGCCGCTTGACACCGGGCATAAGGTCCAGGGAGATCTGGAAAGGATGCAAACTGCAGCCAGAGAGCCAGGCTACAAAGCCAGCGGACGAGAAGGCTCTGGAAAGCCCCCGAGGAAGGGGTGGCTCCGCGGGGGGCCCGGGCGCTGGGCGTGGGAGCAGCTGAAGGCCGAGGGAGGGTCACCCGAGTCGGGGGAGGGGCTGGGGCGGGGAGACCAGAGCCTGGGAGAGGAAACGGAAGACCCCGAGGCGGCGGCGGCCGGGCGCCGAGGGGCCGGGCGGGCGGAGGGCCGGCCGAGGCGAGGGGGCAGCGCCGGGGACGCCCGGGGGCCCATGTGGGCGGGGGTGTGGAGACGCCCGGCCCGGCCCCCTCGCGGCGGGCAGCGTCGCGGCTTCCTCCACGCTCATCCACGAGCTGTCGAAAGCGGCAGAGCCAAGGGGATCTTTACCCGAGCGGTCGCACAGCCCCGCCGCCGCCGCTCCCGCCACTACCGCCAGCAGAAGCGACACATGCGACTCCTCTTCCCCGGCCAGGGCCGCCCGAGAGCGCGTCTGCCAGCCGCGGTCCCGCGAGACAACGGGCCTTTATCGCGAGAGTCAGCTGCGCAGGGCGGCTGTCGCGAGAAGCCTGGCGGCGGGGGCGGGGCGACGCGGGGCGCACGCGCGGTGGGGCGGGGCGGGCCCAGCGGCCGGGAGGCGGAGCTCGCTGCCCGTGGGAAAGCGCGGCGCGGGCGGGGCGCGCCGGAGGGAGGCGCGTCGGAACGCGGGGACGCGCGCCGAGGCCGGGGCCGGGGCCGGGGCCGCCGCCGCCCGCTGAGGCGCGTCCTGAGGCCTGTCACCCGCCAGCCTGCGGGACGCGTCAGCCCGCGCGGCGGCCGCGGCTGGGAGGGCGCCTGCTGTCGCTGCGGCCCCGGCCCTGCCCGCGCTCGGGTTTTCTTGAAAAGGCCCAGCGGCGCCGTGGAAAGTCCTCGCAGCGCACAGACTCGCCGCCCGCACGGCGGGGCCCCCGCGGCCGCGTCTTCCCCGCTCCCCGCGCTCCCAACTGGAGTTCAGCGCCCGGCCGGGCGTTCCCGGCCGCCCGCGGCGCGTGTGCGCTTTGCCGCCACCTGCCGGCGTCTCCGGAGAGTCCTGGCCCGCGCGGCCCGCGGCGTCCCCGGCGCGCGGCGGGACTGAGCCCGCGGGGCGGCGCGGGGAGGCCGAGGCGCACCGCGGCGGAAAGGGCTTTGCCGCGGGGCCGGGGCTGCTCTGCCTTTAGCTCCGTCCTGCACCTCGCCTCCCTGCCCCTGCCCGCCGGACCCCACAGCTCCCTCTGTGAGGTGGCGTCGGGCCGGAGGGGGCGGGCGGGAGCCGGGACCGGCTGCCACCTGCGCCCCGGAGCCGGCTCCGCCCGCGTGCGCGGGCCCCGGTGAGCAGCTGTGAAGAACCTCCAGTTCTGACGGAAAAGCAACCTCGGCTCCGCATGCGCCACCGCCCTCCGAGGCCGGACCTGCCGAGTAAGAGCTGGTCCTCGTCCCCCAACTGCGTGACTTCTCTGAGCACCCCCGCCCACCCCCTTCCGCGAGCCTCGCCCAGGAGCGCAATAAACTCCCTGCCTGTGAGACACTTGGCCCGGCTCTCCTCTTCTTTACCGCCACAGTCCTTTCACCATCCTTCGTTGTCCCCTGGCAACTTGGGGAGTGTGAAGCCACCTGGCATAATCGTTTCCCCCCGCGAGTGTGGACATCTCCCAAGAGAGCCCTTCTGCCTGACATCAGGGAAAGATGGGGTGCCTGAGCATGTTTGATTCCAACTCTGTGTTCATACCCGCCCAAGGCGTCCCAGACCTGCTCTGTTGGGGGCAGAGTCCAGGTGAATTAATTCCACAAAACTTTCTTGTCTTCCTACTATGCACCAGGCACAATGCAAGGCACGGGGTTACCCTTACCAAGAAGGCACCAAGTCCCTACACTCATTAAATTGAACATCTTAAACATGTCCATTGATTTTATTTTTTTTTTAAAGATTTATTTATTTATTTATACAAGCACTGGGTACAGTCAGAAGCGCAGGAGGGTGAGAGAATTCACCAGAGCCAGAGCGGGGAGCAGAGCAGGCAGAGGGACCGAAGGACACTGCTGAGGGGAGCAGCGGGCGGCAGGAGAGGTCTGTGCACCATGCGGGACCCTCACCGGCAGCCGGGGATCGAACCAGCTCTGCAGAGGCTGCGGGCAGCTTCGCAACCCAGCGCTCAACCCCTGCGCCACCGGGGAGGCCCCCATTGATTTCATTCTTGCAAAACATCCCAAGAAGTAGGTATTGTCTTCAGTGTCCAGTTGGTGAATTCAATGGATATGACTTGAAATTCACATATGCTTAAGCTCACACAGCTAATAGCATATTTCATTGGTTTTAAGGTGCGTATTTTTCACATTGTAACATATCAAGTTGCTCTGCAGTGGGTGGAGTCAACCTTGTGTCACAGTTTACCTGGCAGCTTTTTTTGCTTAGCGGTACACAAACTTTTTTCTCTCTTAGTGGTGCATCTTACATCAAGGGCGTGTTGGAGGCGATGGAATACAAACAGGTGATCAGCCTTGTGGACAAGGCTCAACATCTTCACTTCTATTCCTCAGCCTTTTCCTGCTCCACTTTGCATTTCCAGGCTTCCTTGGTCCCAAACTTCCAGCGAGGGTCAGCCCCTGGCAGGCAGCAATGGGCAAGCCCCTTCCCAGCCACCACATCCCACCTTGAGCAGTGTCTCTGGAAGTAGCTGTCTCTCCCTTAAGCATCAGTCCCTTTTCTGGTCACCTCCCTTTGCATTTTAGGGGGTCCCGGGCCGTGGGCTCCTGTAACATAGCCCCTTCTCTGGCCTAGAGATGGTGGCTTCTTGTCGCTCATCTGCAGCTTGCCTCACCACCTCTGTTTAACTCTGCAGCAATTCCATTTCCTGTGTAATCAACCCTTTGGAAGCAGTTCTCCTGCCCTCTAAGTGCTTAGATGGGGCTCTGTTTTCCGGGTGGAGCTGCCTGACACCACTGGCATTCAGACCCAGGTCTGCCCTTCACAGCATATGCCACAGCCCGGAGGCTCTCAGGTACCAAGAGGAGAAACAACGTATTAAATAAATATTGAGATGGCTTTTCACCAGGAAGTCACAGGCCTTTTGAGAGAGGCAGTGGGCTTCTTGCAAGGGACATGGGAATCTGCTTGTGCAGCAAGTATTGTCAGGAAATGAACTAAACATCTTTCAGGCTTAAGTCTTATATTTTCTAGTGTAAGTCTCAGTTTTGTTCCAAGGAAAGTTCAAAAGTTGAATCGGCTAGGCTGAGCTTCAGCTGTGTCTTTCCCTAAATCAGTCACCGTAACTAGACAATCTGGAGTTAAGTGCCCTCCTTTGGAGCTGGCTGGGAGGGATGGGGCCAGGGTGCATCCTAAGGGAAACTGAGGTCCTATGACCAGAAAAGGGAGTGATGCTTAAGTATCAAAAACAACAGATGTCACTGCAACCACCCTCACACTCACATGCTAACATTTATTAAATAATCTAACACACCAAGTGGGTGTATAATTGAGATGGACTTCCTTAATAACAGCCCTATTTCACTTGAGATAGCAGCGTGTCAAGCTAAAGATACTTGACTCCCCAGCCTCCCTTGCAGCAACGGTTCTGGTCCGTGAAGATATGGGTACATCCAGAGGGTGTCCCTTCTGTTGGGGAACTTAGTGGAAGATTTTTTAAAATATTATGATATGCAGATTACAAATAGCATATATATATTTTTTTAATACGAGAGCTGGGGTACAAGCCAGAGGCGTGGGAGGGTGAGAGGATTCACTAGAGACAGCAGGGAGCAGAACAGGCAGACGACAGAAATACACTGCTGAGGGGATCAGCGGGTGCCACAGGAGAGATCTGGCGCGCCATGTGGGATTCTCACCAGTCGGCCGGGATCGAACCCGCACTGCAGAGGCTGCGGACAGCTTCACAGCGCAGCGGTCAACCCACTGTGCAACCCAGGAGGCCCTATTATTTTAAAAAAAGATTTATTTATGCATACAAGAACTGGCATATAGGCCAGAGGTGTGGGGGGTGGGGGTGAGAGGATTCACCAGATACAGAGTGGGGAACAGACCAGGCAGATTAACTGAAATACAATTGCTGAGGGGAGCAGCTGGGGAGACAGGAAAGGTCTGCCTTGCCGTGTGGGGTCAGCTCCCTGGCCAGGGATCAAACTGTGGATGGCTTCACAGTGCTGTGTCTTAACCCTTTGCGCCACCAGGGAGGCCCCATTTGTGAAAGATTTTTAAATGGGCGTCTTCATCTTTCATTGTCTTTAAGCTATTTTTACCATTTTATAAATTGTAGGAAGAAAGTAATGCAGTTGATTCTTGTCCATAGAAGTACAAATAAATTGTGCCTGGTCCAATTACAATTGATTATTTCTCTGTTGGTTAGTTTACCAACTCTGTGAAAATTTATCTCTGCATTCCTGATTGCTTGTGTATGTAGCTGTGATGGCCTGTGTGTGCGCTTTAACATTCTCCTTCGAATTGTTTTTCACATCTTACTAGTTAACAAGTGAAATAAATTCTCTGATGCATTGTTCCTTTTGTCATTGGATGAGATATGCTTTTACCCTTTAAAAAATGTATCTTTTAATACTTTGAAATTCAAAAGGCAAGCCCTCATATTAATAAGTTTGAAAGCCTTGACATTTCTTCCTTTTTTCTGGTTGAACATGAAAATAAACCAGGAGGCAGTTCCGCCATCTTGCCGCCATAAAGGGCTGGCTGGAGAACAAGGCACAGATGCTAAGGATTTTGGACAGGAAATGTTCCTAATAGTAGTGTCCAGTCACCCTAGCAGGTCTTTTAAAAATTCTTTTCTAAGGAATATTTTTATTTGATGAGTTGATACAGATATAATGTGGGCATCTGGATGGAATGATTGCTAACACACCTCAGCAGGTCGTGCCCCTTGGGCACTATCAGCGCCCCACACCTCTCTTCCCTGTATGTTCTTCTGCGAAAGATAAACAATCCTCCCCCATATGTTTAAACCAAGGCAACAGGGTTTTCTATTATACTGCAGCACTGGTTCCTAAGTGATACTATCAGAAAGCCAGATATTTGTCAAAGGAGGGACACCTGTGGTCTAGCAAATTGGCACAAGAGAGACGAGGGGACAACGTGAGATCTGGCTGAAAGCAGAGGGGAAGTACTGCGGCAGGACCGGTCAGGCAGAGGAAGTTGGGACAGGCTGTTTGGGACACTCTTTCTGAGAAGCCGTCTGTCAGAGGGAAAGAGTTTGCCTTGAGCCCCAAGAATTGGAGGTGACTTCTAACCACACGTGATAATCCTGTCATAACATCCTCTGGGTGTCCAAGAAATCATGGGTTTTGTTTTTCCACTTTTGGGGTGGGGTGGGCCCTCAGCTAGGAATTTGCTCTCACCTGATTCTTGACTGGCATTTCAAAATGGTTCCTTGGGGTGGATTGGATCTGCTCTTTGTAACAAGTCCATGCTAGTTTGGAAGGATTTGTTTCTTTTTTTTTTAAAAAAAAGATTTCTTTATTTA